TGGAAGCTGTCAGCCTGAGCGCGGGGCTGAGGGCAATGGGAAATGGTGGCAAAGGGACTGCAGTGCGGGTGGGGATCTGCTCATTAAATACTTTAGAGAAGGAAATAGGCAGCAGTGGGGGAAACACAAAGCACAAACAAAACACAGGGCAAGAGGCGGCGCACGTCATTGGAAGCACCATTTCATTCCACTTCAGTGACAGCAGGAGTGGCATCATGTGGCGTCAGTGGCCCTTGCACTGCTCTCCGTTGGTGCTGAGGCCATACCAGCACAGCAGAACAAGCCACAGCTACTCTGCTCAAGTGAAACAAATGCTTTATTCTGCAGGCTGCCCTACCAACACGCTGCATCGGCAGTATGTGGAAGTGGTGTGAGTTGATTCCCTGCTGCACTAATGACTTTTATTCAAGTGATTCAGGAAAACCCCACCTTTCAGGACAATTAAAAATTTGCTTAAGTGTTGGAACGGTTTCAATGTCTGCTGGAATGGCTCCGGAAGCCAGCACCGTGCTTCTTAGACAGAGCCAAGGCAGCAGCAGACCCACTGGGGCTGAAGAATCCTTCTCCATCCCAGCAGCACTGTTGCAAAACTAAACCCATTCGTACCTTTGCAAAATTTCATTTGACAGTGGTGGCACTTTCATCGTTCCTTCCCTACACCTCCACACGAGCACATCCCACAGCGGCTGCAACCACCCCAGCTGTACATGGCAGAGCCAGGCGAGCGGCCTCTGGGCTGTGGGACTTGAGGCCGGCTGTGGGCTCTGATGCTTTCCTGACCACACATGGCGTCACCACCATCACCACACAGCCCAGTGTCTGTGCTTCAGGTGTCAGTGACACACACCACCATGGCTGACCTGGCCTGAAGCATCAGGCCCACCCAAGGGCCCTCCCACCATGCCCTCATCCCCCCTGTGTGCTGGGAGCACTCCTCACACAGCCCAGGGAAACAGTCTCCCCAGAAAGTTAGGTCTGCCTTCTAGATCTCTCTGCATCTACAACAGATTTCCTTTCTTTCTTTTCCTTTTTATAAATAGTCTGGCCTTCCTGCAGATATTTTCCTGGCTTGGTGACTCACCATAGACTCATCAGGCTCCTTACATTGCTCAAACAGGGAAGTCTCTGGCACAAATGGAAAAGAAAAAGAGAGAGATCCCCCCAGCTGACATTAACAACTGGTTATGATGTGTTCCCATGGAAGACCTGAAACATGTCCTGCTGCCCCAGGGCCAGAAGGATTAGTGTTAAGATGAATATCTGTGCAGGACAGAAGCGATGTCACCTGGTCCTCACAGTCTGTGCATGCTGTCCTGTCTCCTGCCTCCCTTGGGGCACTCACAGACAGCAATTGCTTCTCCTTAGGTCACTGCTGAGTGGCTTTGAGCAGTTTAGTACACCAAGAAATGAACACGGCTGCCAAGCTTTCCATTTACTTCAGAACAAGGCACTGAGCAGTCTGCATGCGATGCTTTCTATTTTTCTTCCCTATTTTGGGGAGGGGGTTGGGATTACCAGCTGCCTTTCGGGTAATTAAGCACCAAGAACCCTCCTTCCCAGGCAGGAGCATTGGGAATGGCTGAGCTCTCTCCTGGCAGCAAGCTCCTGGTGCCAGGCACCCAGCTAGCGCTGCAGGGGATCATGGCCTTCGCAATTAGATGATGACAACTTGATGGAATTCAGCCCAGCACTGATGATACGATGAAGGGAGCTTATAAACAGGAGGGGGAACGGCTGTTTACAAGGGTGGATAGTGATAGGACAAGGGGGAATGGTTTTAAACTGAGACAGGGGAGGTTTAGGTTAGATACTAGGAGGAAGTTTTTCACACAGAGGGTGGTGACACACTGGAACAGGTTGCCCAAGGAGGTTGTGGATGCCCCATCCCTGGAGGCATTCAAGGCCAGGCTGGATGTGGCTCTGGGCAGCCTGGTCTGGTGGTTGGTGACCCTGCACATAGCAGGAGGTTGAAACCAAATTATCTTTGTGGTCCTTTTCAACCCAGGTCATTCTATGATGACTTTGCCCTTCATGGTGGAACATACAAGTCGGTATAAAGTTTCACCAAAACTGTGGTACCACAGGAAAGGTTCTGAGTTATTTAATGTATGACATTATTATCACCTGATTTGTATTGCAGCACAGCAAATGCATCTACGAGCTGTCTGTGCATTCTCAACAGTGTGATGAGGAGGCTCAGGATGTGTGTTGTTCTTGCTGATAAAGTGTCAAACTATCCTTTGGAGCAAACAAACAGGATGCAGCCCATGTCGAGGTACCCAGGAAAAGAGAGCACTGTGTGACATGTTCTACCCCACTGGGAAACGTATCCTAGAAGCATTCACTGTGGCCGTATGTGATCCTCCCCAGCCCTTTCCCATGGAGAACAGCAGGTAGCGCGAGCCCTCAACATGCCTGTTCATTCATCCAGCATTCTCCAGCCCTGATTGTGTGTTATAACTTTTCTGACAGCTTGTAAGTGTTTCCGTGGCGACAGAGTTATGTTGCCAAAGCAGACAAGTGAATCATCTATTTGCAGGAGACAGGCGAGCTGCCACGGGGATACCTTGTGTCCCTGCGTGCGGAGCAGCCCTGGGCTCAGTGCAGCCCTTCCCTCTGGCACCAGGGCACACGCCACGTCCGCAGGAGGCAGCGCCCAACCGGGGCCAGGCAGCAGGGAGGAGGGAGGCCTCCGGGTTCGCTGCTCTGCAGACATTGCTCCCTCATTGGCGTCTTGGCCCTGCCAGCCGCTGCAGCTCCCAGCCTGCTGCTCTGTCTCAGGACCCCTCCTGTAAAGTGCGCATTAGTTCACTTGTCTAGCATCCAGGCCTCCCACAAATGCTGTAATGGAAGTTATTGTTCTCCCAGCCACAAGGGAAATTGTGACTTTTCCAGTTTTCTCCTCATGCAGAGATAAAGGCCCTGTGCACCACACCGACACGCCGGCTGTGTGGTGGGGGCTGCTGCAGCGCTGCAGGGGGTGACATGCCCCAAGCCCCCATACCCAGGGTCTCCAAAAAATAACCCCAGGCTCCTATTTTGGTGCTGCAGCTGCAACCTGCAGGGCCACGTGCTGATCAGTGGGGCAAACCTGTACATGGGGTAAATTTACTGTTAAGACCCTGCCTTGAGCTGAGGGGGGCACTACCTTCCTGTTCAATTCTGAGGTTGAAGTGAGAGTCTTTCTTTTAGTTCCCAGCAGTGCCTGAGATTTGCCAGCACTGTTCTGAACAGAGCCCTGCACCCTCCTGCCTGCTCCATGGGTGTGTAATTAGCACTGATTCACTGGCTTAAACAGACCCACATCACCTGGAGGTCTGATCCCGTGTATTTACCCAAGAAAGGAAATGTGACCACCCCAGGAGCTCTGTGATGCCTCTAGGGTCTGGCAGGAAATATGATGTTGGGATGCGCTGGTGATGCAGAGAAGCAGCAAATGGATGTGTACATGCTGAGACAAATTAATTGTTGTGCCCAGGCCAGTGCTCGCAGAGGCCACCTGTTTTGCTGACTCTTCCGTGTCACTTCAGAGTGTGGAGAGGGTCTGGAAGCTTTGTAGTTGAAAGAACCTTCCTCCTGCTGGTTCACTTATAACATCACTGAAAAGTTTAAGTTGGAAGGGACCTTTAAGATCAGCTATTTCCAACCCCTCTGCTATAGGCAGGGACACCTCCCTCTAGACCAGGTTGCTCACAACCCCATCCAGCCTGCCTCACTGGGCAACCTGTTCCAGTATCTCACCACTCCCAGAGAAAAGAATGTTTTCCTGATATCTTGTCTAAATCAGCCCTCTTCCAGTTTAAAACCATTTCCCCACATCCTGTCACTACATGCCCTCATATGAAGTCCTTCTCAGCTTCCCTGTAGGCCCCTTCAGGTACTGGAAGGCCACTGTAAGGTTCCGCTCCTGGAACACCAGTGTGCAGTGCTGGGGCTCACAGCATTGCTGGCAGATGGAGCTCCTTGCCTGGACACCCAGGTTTATGTGCAGCTCCCTTGAGCTTGAGGTGCTCCAAAGCCAGAAGGAGCATCGAGGCAATCCCTGTCTGGCTGCCTTAAGTTGCCTGTGTACATGGGAGCTTTTGGATCCTGCTTCTAAGATGTCAGTGTGTGAGGCGAGAGGGAAGACCAGGATTCTGCTCATGGGGAAGTGTCTCCTATGCTGGGCTGTGTTCCCTCCTGGAACAAGAAGAAAGCATAATGACTCAGGGTTTCACTGCATAGGGCGCTACATCAACCGGGAAAAGTAAGGAGTGCCCCAATCCTGATGCTACTTACCCTACAGGGAACGACAGTGAGTCAGCAGCCACACAGTCATGAAATATGGGAATCTCTGCAGGCAGAGGAGGGAATCAGAGCAGGACATGGAGGAGCTCACATAAACAGAACCAAGCCGTTATCCTCTGCATAAATCAGCAGAAGGTAGAGGAAGATGCTGCTTTCCTACTGCGGTGAAGGGAAAGCTGCCTGTCAGAGGTGGCTCAGACTGCTGACTCTGAGCGGGCAGGCAGGCCTGCAGAAGGGTGAAATTCAACGCACGCCTCTCTTGGTGTTGCTCATGACCAGCTCCAGGCAACATCACTGAGGAATCCCAATCCCACGCTGCACAGATGGTGGCTGCCACCTCCGCCTGATGGCTCGGCCATGTGCAGCGTGGGCTGTGTGTCACCCTGCAGAAGACAGTGCAGTTCCACCATCATTGGAAAAATAATCATTTTAAACCAGCTCTGCAGTGGCCTGCATAACAACATTTATTTTTGGGTGCCTGGTGGAAAAGCGGGGGAAGGATGAAGAGTAGGGAGGGGAAAAGTATTCTAAGCATTAAGTGCAGACTTCAAATTCCACTCCTGTTGGCTTCACAGAGCTCATAAATCAAAAGTTGGGACAGATGGGTCTCACCAGTCAGGACATGCACTGATGGACACTATATTTCACTCTGAGGCTCACTTCCCTGCAAAGGGGTGAATACGACAAAGTTCTGATATGAAAAAAAGTCTGTATTAAAGAAAATTGCTTTTATTGTAAACAAAGTATAAAGTACAACATAAGAAATGTGCAAATCTTTAAAGTAGTCACAAAAGAGCGTATCTAATACACTATTTTCAAATGGTTCACTTTCTGATAGGTGTCCTCGACATAATGTGATAAAATAGAGTGAAGTTGACACATTATTTGTCACAAAATATACAGCTTTAATTCTAAGCTGTGTCTTTACTGCCTTGTTTAACTTTTCAAATCACAACTTTCTAATTTAATACAATACATAACATATCCATATCTCATTTTTAGTATAAACCATCTTTCAAAGAATAACATGGTCAAGAACCCTAAGGTTCCTGTTTTTCTCTCTCAGTCGACCCAAGTAGCTTACAGTTTCACTGTTTTTCTTAAAAGTACACTGTATCTGCTTATGAAAAATGCAGTGGTATGGAATTTGAGAGGGTATGAAGGAAACTGTAAGCATCACAAAAGCAGAAGCACCGTACGATGCCTCAGTATAACCAGTTGTAATAATCACAAAGCTTTCAAAAGAAGCCAGGAAAATATTACAAAGCCAACGAGGATCCACAAACATTTCACCCCCCCGCCTCCTACTGCCTACAGGGCGCCTCTCAGCACCCACTGAAGCCCTTTCTGGGCAGCAGCACAAAGCTGGTGGCCCCAGGGCACATGGCACCAATTGTAGGACAGGCCCCACAGCTCCCAGAGCATGGCACCAACCCACCTGTACCACTGGGCCTGGAAATCTACTGGGCCCTCCTACCCAGAAAAGGCAGCACAAGTAGGAAAACCAATTTGGATCACCTCTGGCACATACACCCTGGGCTTTCAAGCCTGTGCCTGCACATTGCTGTCTATCTAATCTGTGCCGTACTGGCGATTCACAACCAACAGTTAAAATCTCTGCTGGTCTCAAGCATCAGCCGCAAACCTTCAGCAACACTGACGCTTGACTGATATATATATATATGTATATAGCATATATGAATAATCTGCAAAATTCAAAACCTGCACAACGCGTTCTGCTCTGCTCTAGAGCCTTCCCTTTCTCTCCTTACCAGTGCAAAAGACACCCTCCATTCCAGCCAGCCTGAGTCTCTCAGCCCCACGCTGTGTCACTGCACACAGACCGCCTCAGCCTCCCTGCAGCGCTGCCATCAGCAGCTGGCACTGGAGAACCACAGACCTGCAGCAAAAGCTTTTTTTTTTTTTTTTGTTTTATTTTTTGTTTTTTTTTTTTTTTTTTTTTTGCTTTTTTAACCTGGCATACCCCAGTGACAACAGTTAATCAGCCACCTCCTGACCAAGTCCCTTCACTGTGCAGCCACCGACCGAGGCGGCACGGCGATGTCATTCAGCTTGCTCACTTCCATCTGCCAGTTGGGCAGCTTCTTGGCGGAGAGGTGCCGCCGCGCGTGCTTCGTCAGGTGGTCGCTCCTCATGAACCGCCGCTCGCACATGGGGCACGCAAACTTCTTCTCCCCCGTGTGCGTCCTGCGGTGCCGGGACAGCTCGTCGGAGCGGGCAAACCTCCTCTCACAGCCCTTCCAGCTGCAGCTAAAGGGCTTCTCTCCTAGAAGAAGGAAAGCCGCGAACACTGAGCAACCAACGCTATTGGCTTGACTGACAGCAGCTGGCTTTTCGAAAAACGCATTTCCATTACAACCAAGCTTCATATAAATCTTCATTACTTTTATATATATGAAATTTAAAAACATTTAAACATTGCAGATTCACTATCATCAATACTAAGTAGTGCAGGAGGCCTGAAAAGTCCTCCGAAAAACAAACTGAGATGCTCCCTATGCCTGCACACAGGGCTGATTTTAGCTCTCAGCCCCACGGGTGCCGCAGATTATGGTGCCTTTGGTCAGGTGACCAAGTGCTCCTCCTTAATGCAACCCATAACGATGTTGGTCCCGTTCCCATGTAACAGAGCTCTGGCAGCACATCATGAGTCTCTGTGAAAATGCACGCCCCTCTTTTCACTACTGTGAATAAGAGCTGAGACATGAAGTTGTTCAGAGATAACCAAAGTGGGAATAGCTTTGATTGGACACTTGCTTTTGTTCATGAAAGAATCCCTTTAAGTTAACCTTAACCTACTTCTCACAAAGGCATTCTTGTGTAGAAGCCTAATAAGGCATCTGTAACTACAGAAAAGCCTTTTCTACATTTGGGCAGGGCCTTGCTTCCAATGCTTGCAAGATATGTTGCTGTCTGCCTTCTGACATGGAGCAAAGCCAGCACAAACTCCTGAATCAACTTCCCCCCGGGGTATTTCCTCTCACAGATTAGGTGGCATTACAGTGCACACAATGAGAAAGAAGCCTTTCATTGCTGCCCCACAATATGCTCTATGAACAAATCCAGTAACTACGAGATTCTTAACAAGTAGTGCATACAGCTGCAACGTCACGTTAACTTTTAACAGCCCGAATGAGCGACCAACCTGTGTGTGTTCGGACGTGAGCCTTCAAATGGGAGCTCTTGAAGTAAGTTTTCCCACACCCCGGGTAGTTGCAAACATGACTTCTTATTCTCGAAGAATCAACTGGAGGAGCAACTTTGGCTCCAGAAGGTGCGAAGCCAGGAGCGGGGGCAATAGGAGAGAGCCTCATGCCATTTGGGCTGAGGATCGGAGCCTTCGCGCTCGGCACAACTGGCTGGGGCACAACGAACATGACGGCGCCCTTGGGGACCTGTGTGCCCATGAGCACCATGGGCTGGCAGAGCGCAGGTGGCCGGCTGGCTGCAGCACCAGGCACCACAGCAGTCATGACAGAGTTGCTGGTGGGCAGTGGGACCATCTGGCAAATGACCGGCACGGGGGGGGCTGCGTTTCCCAGGACAGAGCACGGGGCTGCCACCGGTGCTGGCTGCTGTGCTGACCCAGGGACAGATGGATGCCTGCTGACCACAGGCTTTGTCGAGCGCTCAGGGCCAGCAGCTGGCTCTGCAGTTTCTCTTTCTGCAGCTGGCAATCGTCTGCTTTCATAACTCACTCTGCTCAGTGCCGTAGCCGAGCACTCTTCGTTGCTGTCCAGTTTGCTATCAGTGTCCCATGCAGCACCATCCTGGTATTTCAGTACACTGGCTGTTCTCGCTGGGCAGGTTTTGCGATTGCAGAGCTGAGCATCGGCCGTGTGCCGAATAACGCTGGTCGCTTGGGCCTTCAGGGCTCTGGGCGCGTGCGGCTCAGCCTCTCCTCGAGGTGTGGGGGTGGTATGGGACAACTCCAGGTCGGATGGGCTGTACGGAGGGGTCAAGCACTGCAGGAAGAGGTGAGATTAGGGGGACATTTAACAACCTGCTGCCACGCGTTACCGACTGCTGCCTCATGGACACAGTGAAATGAGCTTGCACATGGTAAGCACTTACAAATGCGGGGATGGTGCTGAAGTCTGCCACTCCAGGAAGCAGGGTCTCATCGCTGTCCTCTGACATGTCAGAGGCTGGGGTGATGGGTCTCATGTCTGCATGTCTCTTCAGGTCAGTCTTCCAGTTGCAGCTCATAGAAATCAGGGCCTCAACAGCCTCGTAATCGCCTTTCTCAGGGGTGTTGTTCCAGAAATACTGAGCATCTCCCTGCTTCTCAGTCATCATCGCCATTTCTTCTTCCTGTGTGGGTCAGAGTTCAATAAGCCTTTAACTCGATGGTCTCGGCTAGCTAACAGCATGGAGCGCCTTGTGCAGGGAAAACGTGCGTGATGACACGGGGTATGGCTACACTGCCCTCCTGACAGGATGCCTTCTTAAGTCATCTGTGGGGAAATCTGCCATCTGGTGAGGATGACACAGCTCCTTGAGGCCAAACAACTTCCCAAACCTTAAGCAATAGTTCAAGTTATTCCATATTGCTGCGGCTGAAAGCTTAAAACGACAAAACGCAACACGAGACGAAGCCCAGATCCCCCCTCCCGCCGCACCCTCCTTCCGTTCCCGCTTCGAACCCCCGCTCTGACCCGCGGCTACGAGAAGCCCAGGGCCGCTCCCTTCTAAACGCGTCAGCCGCCACTCGGTGTTCCCACAGCGCTCAGGAGCGCACGCAGCCACGTTTACAGCCGTGAGGACGGCAGCTCGGGGAGCGGCACGTCGGGACACGCACGGTTTGGCAGAACGCCGCACAAAACGGAGCCGCGCGCCAGGAGCCGCCGGCGGCATGGCTCTGGGGGAGCTCCGTGGCGCGGGGCAGCGCCGAGGCACGGCCGCACGGCCCGCCCCCCGTCCCCGCCCCCATCCCCGCCCCCATCCCCGGAGGCCGTTGGGCGCGCGCCACCGTCACCTCGGCGCACCCCGCCGCCTCGCCCCGCCCCCGTCCCGCCCCCATTGGCTGCCCCGGGCGGGGCGCGGTCGGGGCGGGGGCACGCGAACAAAGCGTGATCGGCGGCTGCTGGGAGCGCCGCGCGCCGACCTTTCCCCCAGTTCGCCGCGCTCCCGCCCCCGCCCTCGGAAGGAGCAGGAAGGGAGCTGCTCAGCACCGCGCCGCATCGCACCGCGGGGACGGGGCTGCGGCCACCGCGTCCGGTGGCGCGGCTGCTCGCAGTACCGCCACCCAACGCCCACAGCTCAGCCCGTCCCGCTGTCCGGAGCCGGACGCCCGGCTCCCCGCCCGCAGTGCCGGCGGCGCCCCCCGCCTCGTACCCTTCGCTCACCCTCACGCCGCCGCCCGCCCGCCCGTCCGTCCGTCCGGCCCCTGGGCTCTGCCGGTTCCCCCGTCCCGCCGTGCCCCTCCTCCTGCGCGCTCCCCGACCTGCCCCTCCCGCAGCCCCCGCTCACCGCGCGCCGTGCCGGGACCCCGTGCCGCCGCCGCCGGCCGTGCCCGCGCCGATTTTCCTCTTTTTGTCCGCCGCTCCCCATTCAGGTGGCGGCGGCTCCAGCGCCCCGCGCGGGTGGGCGGGGCGTCGCCCGCCCGGCAGCCAATCGGCGGCAAAGGTGTGTGAGGCGGCTGCCAATGGGCGCGGGGCGCCCCGCGCGTGATCGGCGGCTGCCCCGCGGCGTGGCCCGGGTGTCGGCGCGGCGTGGCTCGGGAGTCGGCGCGGCGTGCGCGCTCCCGCCGTCATCCCGGCGGCTGAGTCAGTGCATCCGGGCGGGGGCGGCCGCCGCCTCGCCGTGAGGTCACGCGGCCCCCCGCCCCTCCCCGCGGCGCGGAGGTGGCGCCGGGCTCCTCGCGGTGGCGCCGGGGGGATGCCCTCCTCCCCGGATTCCCCGCCGCTCGCGATCGGGGGGTCACGACTCAGTGCGTGGCGCCCCGGCTGTGCGCTGCGGCATCAGGGGCACCGGGGAAACGCCCGCGGAGCGGCGTCTGCTCTGCCCGTGTAAATGAGTGCGGTACGCAATGTGAAATGCTGTTCGCCTTGTCGGTCTGCTGCTATGGCAAGGTACCGGCGGTATGTGCCGCCGAGGTGGTGGTGGGGTAAGGGGCTGGAAGTAAGCAACGCTTTGCGGCTTCTCACAGAAAAGACGTGGAAGTGCTGGAGCGCGTCCACAGAAGGGCGGCAAAACGGAAGGGTCTGGAGCACAAGTCTTATGGCAGCGGCTGAGGGAGCTGTGATCGTTCAGTGTGGAGAAGGGGAGGTTCAGGGGAGCCCTCGTTGCTCTCTGCAACTGCCCGAAGGCAGGTTGTGATGGGCTGGGGACGGCCTCTTCTCCCAGGTAACAGCGATGGGATGAGAGGTGAGGGCTGCGTGCTGAGAGCAGTGCTTGGCTGGGAACTGGGCAGCGAACGCTGACAGGAGGCGGTAGGGATGCAGCCAGGGCTGAGGGACCATGAGAAAGAGGGGGCTTCGTGCCAGAGGGGATAGATAGGCTTCGTGTGCCCAGATCCCTGAGGCCCTGCCATCCTGGTGAACATGTCCTGGAGCAGCATTTCAGGCCGCTGGGTTGAATTGGGAGGAGCAGCCCCCAGAAAGGAGAGACCTGGCTCCTGCCCCCCGTGGGAGCTCCGTTGCCCACACATCCCTGGCATCCATGGAAGTAAAGCCGCTCATTTTGCTGCAACCCCTCCCATGTGTGTCTGACTGTTCTTTCCTTCCCCACTCCTTTCCTGTTCTGCAGGCTAAGACTGTTTACAACCACCTCTCCCCAAAATAATCCCTGCTTAAGAGGCTGGAAAACATGACAGTTTATCTTCATATGCAGAGCAGAACTTATTTGTAATTAGCTTTAAGGCTGTCGTTTATTTTACCAGCCTGATTTCCACACCAGGCGGATCGTGCGTGGCTGGCAGCGCTGCATTCCTGCCCATCCTACACAACCCATCATCACACGGATGCATTCAGCACAGAGTTGCTCATGGCCCCGTCTTCTCTCCAGAGTGTTTTGTCTGCCCCCGGGTCCATGCAGCCACCGTCCTGCCTCATCTGTGGGTCACTGCGTGGAAAGCTCCAGAGAGTGTTGGCAATGCTGTTGTTGACGTGGCTGCCATGGGGGTGGGGAGACTCAGACACCCCTAATAAAGCCTGAGGCAAGTGAGAGGCACTTCTTTTTGGCAAATGAGCGGTTTTCAGTTTAAAAATGCTTTTCTCTTGTGGAAAGCATCAGAGCTATGGCTGTCAGATCAAATGTGTGCTTTCCCTTTGACCTCCCAAGGAGCATAGGGATGTGGTTTTATGCCATCTAGGAGCAATCTGATGTGTTTGCTTTTCATTCTGAAGGTGTTTAGGAGTTTGACATTTAGCCCTTGTGGGTTATTTATTTATGCCTTTTACGCTGTATCTTATGTTTCCTAGAAAACCACTTGCCCAGCCTGCATGTCGTGTATTTTTGATGTGGAAAGATGTGGGATTGGGGTGATAAATGAGGAAAGAGAATTGGCAACAAGACTGGAAAATCACTGGCCAACTAGGTAACTTCAATCCTATCCAGCAGTCTGAACCTGAATTTCAGCATGCTCCGTTACCTGTGGCTTACCTTGGCTTTGTCATACAGAATTTACAAGGAGCCATAAGTGGCTCCTTTATCCTAGAGTCCAGCAAGAAGCTGTGTTGCACTTATGAAAGGGCATGAATGATTATTTTAAACCTCCCATGTTGGATGAGTACTTCTATGGGTGTTGTGGTTTAATTAACCATTTTGAATATAACCCAATGATCTATTTAAATTACTGTTAAAAAAAACCAGATACTTAGAAACTGAATTGAAATTAAGCACTGCAGAGTGAGCTTGTGCAGCTGACAAAGCCACCTGTCCATGCTGTGATAAGTGTTTTTCCCGATGGAAGCATTAGAAATACATTTGTTTGCTTTTTCATGCCCAAGCTGATCTTACTCATTACACAGTGACTAAATTGCTGCATTTCCAGGATAAATTCCAGAGGCAAACAGATGGTGGTGTGAACAGAGCATTTTGTTTGACATACTAATGTGGTATGAATCTCAGCAGGGACTTTCCTCCTCCTCAGAAAGGTAACAGCATTTCTGCACCTCAAATATTTTGATAACAGTCATATGAATGAAGTCATATGAACTTTTCTTTAAGCCTACCTGCATTTTCTGATTTTTGAACTGTTGAATAGTTTCAGCCACACAAAACAGACAAAATAGAGCAAAGCTATCAGTAAATGTAATATTGCAGGAACAATTAACTGTGATGCCAATATTTGATCAACTCCCAGTGCATGTGTTCATATTCAAGCAAGTGAATAGTTTCTGAATAGGGAAATGCAGGTGGAGAGTGCAGGCAGTATGTTCCTCATACAGTACAGGCTGTACTGCATCCAGTTTGACTCCCTGCACCCAGGACAACCCTCCAGTATGTCTTGGCAAGCCTTGAGTTCTCACATCCCACTGCCACCTCCTGTCAAATGCCTCTCCTCACATCATAGTACAAAATACACCACTGGTGTGCTGTTAAGCAATCACCTCACTGTTAGTAATTGATTTTTTTTCCCTTGAGTCATCACAGAACTAAGGGCGCACTTTAGGGACCTGTGGAGCTCAAGGCCTTGTGTCTCATTTAAAGAGATGTCATAAGAGTCATGGCTTTGCCACATAGATAGCTCTGATAGTCTTTGGCAGGACAGCAAGAATTGAGCAATACTATTTTTTTTTTAATTAGAAAAAAAAAAAAAAAAAAGCCTCTGTGAAAGCCTGTTTTGGTGCTGCAGAATGCAAGTATCTCAGTTCTATCAGAGTGATGCAGGGCTGCAGGATAGATCCCTGTTTAATGTCCAGACACACAGTGTGTAAATAGTGATGATTTTGTCAGTGGCAGGGAACCCCAGCAGTGAGACTGCCCTCATGTTGAGAAAAGCTTGCCTAAAGTGTTTGTTAGGTGTGGCAGCCCCTGGACTTTGCCAAAGCTACTCAACTCTGGAGGCTTTCATGCAGGTAACACAGGAGCAGGTCGGTGGGACTGGGAGGAGCAGTGATTATGTGGGGATTGTACAGGGACCGGGAAAGGCCTTTGGTTCTCCGGTTGTTTCAGTGCCTCAGGCAGAGGCAGGAGATGGCACAGAGCACACAGTGTGCAACTTGTCCTGACCGCCTGCATGGCAGCAGGGTGTTGGCATCTGGCTGCTCCCTGGACTCCTCCCTGCGGCTCGCTTTGGTCCTGCAACCCAGATTGCAGAGCACACACCTCATTCCTGAAGCTCAGCATGGCGGTGTGTGCCTCAGCTCTGCGTCTCCTTGTTGGAGATGTACGCTTTGGTCTCAAGGCTCACTGCTGTCAAGATTCAAGTTCCTCTGTCCCACAGCATCCTTGGAGGCACGCTGCACCTCAGTCCCACCAAGACTTACTCTGCAGGAGCTGCAGCAGCAAGGAGGGGGCTGTGCAAGCCATAGCAAAGTGCAGAGTGATGCCCTGACACCAGGGAGGTTCTTTTGGAAGAAGAGAGCACTGGTTTGTCCCTAATAGGTGAAACATGCATTACTGGTGGCATCTTCTCTGCAGACTGATCCTGAGTAGCCAGTTATGGTAACCAAAAAAGGTTGTGATTGCCAGCTTCCAAAGGACAGTGCTGGTTCTCTTCTCTGTGGAGATGGATCCAGTAAGGGACATGCCCATTTTAAGGGGCTGGCAGGCAGACTTTATAAAGACCCTGTCTATCTGAACCCACCCACGACTTTTGTCTTCCTGCTCTTAGAATATCCTGAGTTCGAAAGGACCCAGAGGAGTCATCGAGTCCAACTCCCAGCTCTTCACAGGCCCACCCCGAATCCAAACCAGGTGTCTGAAACGCTCCCTGAACTCCAGCATGGAGCCGTGCCCACTGCCCCGTGCAGCCCGTTCCGTGCCCGCCGCCCTCCGCTGCAGCCCCTGTCCCTGACCGCCACCCGCCCCTCCCCTGACGCAGCTCCATGCCGTTCCCTCGGGCCCTGTCGCTGTCACACGGAGCAGAGCTCAGCGCTGCCCCTCCGCTCCCTGTGAGGAGCTGCAGCCGCCATCGGGCCTCCCCTCAGCTCCTCTGCTCCGGGCTGCACAAACACAGCGGCCTCAGCGCTCCTCGTACATCTCGCCCTCCAGACCCATCCCCATCTCTGTAGCCCTCTTTTGGACACGCTCTAATAGTTTAATCTCCTGCCAGTACTGTGACGCCCAAGCTGCAGCCAGTGCTCAAGATGAGGCTGCACGGCACAGAATGGGACAGCCCTTCAGTCAACTGCTCTAAGTCCAAAGTCTCCTCTCTCCAAGGGGAAGAAGGGACTGCAGATGAGGTCAATGCCTGGAAGGCTGCAGGTGTCTATACACATACCTGTTGCAAAACAGCAGCCGAGGGCTGTGTGGTGGGGCCTGTGCTGGTGAGTGCGCTGGCTGGGGAGGCCAAGGAGACCCGGAGTGGGTAGAGCTCTGGCACAGCTCTCATGCTCCTGCTTGTCTCTGCCATGAGTGCACATCATCTGCTCCAGAGGACCCTTGTTTGAGCAGCTGGGAAGCAGGCCAGTCTGTACTGCATGGCCCTGATCCCGAGGTTGTTCTCTGGTTCAGATAGCAAAGTGAATGTAACTGTACCCAGAGACTTTGTGGGTGGGATTAATCTGAGATTAGCTGCTTGTAGCACAAGCATTTGTTTTTATAGCTCTTTTATGGCTGTTGACGTGGTGGTAAATATAAACCATGAGGTTTGGGCATGTTTCATCTTTACCCCGATATGGGATGAATTGCACTCAGTTCTGCTGACTCCGTCTCCAGTGCTGATGGTGGGAACCTGGATGGCTTCTGCAGGTAGGTAAGCCCACAAAATAGATTGGTGAGGTGAGGGGAATCCCACTGTGAGTACCCAGAAGGTGAGCAGAGCCATCAACTGACAGAGGAGGGCTCTGAGGGGCAAAGCACTCAGGCTTCACTGGCTGGGTTTACTGGCCACGTTCTCTCCAGCCCAGCCATAGCACAGCCCTCTGCTGCTGAGAGATTTGCCTGAGAGCTGGGGTGAGAGAGGAGATACTGAAAATGATAATGAAGAAGCCTGAATCTTACTGTGGGACCAAGGAGAAGGAGAAGAAGGCTGTTGAGGTGGGGAACAGACAAGAGATGAGAGTGGTCTCCAACATGTAGGAAACCAAGGCTTCCCAAAACTGCTGGCTCAGCTCGTTTGCCTCTGCCCTGCATGAGAAGCTTCCATTTCCTCTCATTTCCTCTTTGTTGGGCACATGATGTGCGGCTGACCATCACTGATGCTCTGTTCTGTTGGGTGGAAATGTCCACCTTGAACCTCTTCCTGGCCCCTGGGTCTGCTTCTCTGGGCCCAGCTGTCAGACAGGTCTCTGCTCTGTGCTGCAGTTTTCAGAATTGATTCAGAAATGTACCTTGTGTAAAAAAAAGTAAAGTAAAAAGTAGGCTTGCTTATAACTAGGTCCATTATCCCAGCAGGCAATTGGCACTTGTTTCTCACTACTTCCAGAAATATTTATTTTTATGATTTTTCTTTTTTCCACTTTTAACATTGAGTATTTTTCTGTTGATGGGGCAACTTGAGGTGGATTTGGTGGATAAGCTGTTTATACTGGAATGGATGACTGAAGGTTGATTGACATGTTCTTCCCAGCGGTCCATTCAGTCTCTTCATGAGCACTGCTGAAAAGTCTCAGTCTGTTCTTCAGTAGTGGCAACACAAATGGGTTCTTGTGAAACTATCTCATCTCACCTCACCCTACTTAGGAACAGGAAATGCTGATATTTGACAGACAGAAAGAGCGTGATTCTGCAGCTGTTGATTCCTATGTAGTGAATTATTCTGAGAAAAACTGAAAGACAGATGAAAGATAAACTACCACCAGAAGAAGGCTTACGTCCAGCTGTTGCGTTCAGGAGCCTCTCCCGAAGGCTGCTGTTTATTTGATGACACCAGACATTGTAAAATCAACATTGATGTTGTAATGTTTATACGTGCGTGTGTTTTGCAGCTGGAATGATTACAATCATCAGTCAGAAAACGGTCCCATTCCGCTCTGAGTGGTCAGGATCACATGGTTACCAGGAACCCTCTTCAGATCCCTCCCAAAAACAGACAGTTCCCACAGCACTGTGAGTGTAGGTGGAACAGAAGGCAGCAAACAAGAGCTGAGGAGTCTGTTGTGGGCCCCCACCCCCTAATCTGACAGAGCCTTCTGTGAGCACATTGCCATGTTTTGTTCTGTTTATATATTCAGCCTTCCTCGCAAGTATCGAGGTGGATAAGCAGTGAGTGCCCTCCTCATGGGTCCTGCTCACATCAGTGAGAGCGTCTGGGACTGGGGCTGCAACACAAATACAGACAAAAGGAGGACAAGTGGAAGTCCTTTGGTTTCTTTCATCTGCAGGAAGCTTTGACGTTAACCCCAGATGAGACCAAAAGCTGCTGCCTTCAGCTCTAGGCTGTAAGGTATAGTTCCCTGGAGCAGGTCACACCTGTGAAAAGCCTCCAAGAAAGCTTTGTCTGCTCTGTCTTCTGGAAGAGAAGTCTCGGGAATTCCTAAAGGTGGTGTGAGATCCCTGCTGTACCCCACCCCAGCGTTTTCTGCATGCTGTGAGCTATGCTGTCACATTTTATGGGTTTGATTTGCCCTTTGGGAGCGTTTCCTCACCTGCAGTGAATTACAGGCTCAGATTTCACGTAGCAGCAATCAGAGGCATTGTGAATGCTTGCAGGGTTAGTGAAATCAGTGATATGGTATTGTCCTGGTTAACATACTTGTGGAAGGCAAAGCTGAGAAGCCAACATACAGATGTAACTTACATAGTTAAGTCTGTGTCTGAAAAGCGTCTATTAAAACACAGAAACAGTGCAGCAGCCCATGCTAAAACATCTTTATGAATCTGGATTGGGATGTGAAGCTGCAGTTTTCAGGAGCAGACCTGCGTCTGCATGGCCCTATAGGGACAAACCCTTCTGCTCTTGGAGTGACTATAAATAGCCCAAAATCACAGCGTAGGTGGGTTTGTTTGGTTACTGCAGTGCTGTGTGGCAATTCTGGCTGGATGCCCCTAAATAATCCTACTGGCCGTGTGTACTAGAGAGCTTAAGGTTTTAAAAAGTTCTGGGTCGAATTTACTCTTGTTAAATAATCAATATTGATCAGGTCATGCGATGCACTATCCGAGCGGTCGTTCAAACACCCCATATATTCGGAGTTCATTTTTAGGTGTTTACAGATTCAGAATCCCTGGAAGAGTAATTGCTCTGCTCATAAATCCACGTACTTGTGTACGCATGGCCCCGTGCACACAGGCAGGAGGGATTTCAGGGATGTGCAGTGGATTTGATGCTCACTTGCTTTGTTTTACTTGGACACTTGAATTGCTCGGACAGATCCAGAAATCTCAGCTATAACTCTGTTCATTTTAGTACATCGAGGCAAGAACTTTCCCCTGCCAGAATTATTTTTAAGTACTCCTTTCTTGCTGCCATAAAATACAAATGAAAATGTAAGTTTAAGTGGGTTTTTTAAAAGCATCTGTTTCCCTCAACGTGCCCATCTATCACATCCATTCGCTGTTTTGATTAAGAGCGAAACTCTTAAGCTACAATCTGCATAAATTTTGGACTGAGAGGGATAGCAAGGAGGTTGGCAGCACTAACCATAAATTTAAAAATGGCTTTTTGTTGTGGGGGTTATTTATACAGATTAGATGTCCTGGAAAGTTTTTCTCATCTGAAGCCTCTCTCAGCTGTACCATTACAGAGCTGCACTCAAAAATACATCAGGAAAACACCATATGGCTCTGCCAGCTGCAGTGCACGCACACACAGAAGGGTACTGGTGTGCAACCAAAAAAAGGTGAAGAGTGAAATCTGTAAACAGTGCTTTATAGGTGAAAGGCTGCACAGGGCTGCGCTTACTGTTCTGTGGCCTGAGCAGGAAGCCATCATGCAGCAGCAGCGTGCAGAGGCTGCCGGGCTCCTCAGCTCCCTGCTCCTGCTGCACTTTGTATCTCAGTGCTCCCAGGGCTCACAGTATTTGGGTCGGTACTGAAAGCAAGACAACTAACCCGAGACCTCACTTCAGTGCATCAGCAAGAGGCTGTGAGGTGCATTGAAGCAATGAGAGGCTCACTGAGCGCCTGCAGCTGGGTGTGCCACAAGGTGTGCTGTGTGCTGCAGGGCCCCACTGCTATCAGTACAGCACACGCTGCAGGAGATGGGAAGCAGCCAGGTTCCAGCCTGCCCCATGCTCCTGCCTGCCTGATTCTTTCTCAATAGGTGCAATAGAGCACTGTACCACACCTGTACTGCACTGGTTCCCCTCCAGGATGGACTTTGCACTGTAGTGGCAAAGCACTCACTGAGTTCACTCATGCACAGGAACAAAGGATGAAATGCTAAAGTGAATTGAGAGGAAAAATCCATCCTTCTCTCACAGTTGCTTCCACTGGAACCAGACAGAGTGCCTGCTCTTGTAAGGCAGAGATGGTGGTGATCCAAAACAAGGAATGATTTTCCCCAAACTGATGGGAAGGGTAATCATGCCCCTGCTGCAGGGCCCTGGCTGCTGCTCTGTGAGGGAGCCCCCAGGCCAAGCCCTTACCACCCTATGTAGTGTCATTTTCATCTCAGTTCTCATGTCATCCACGCAAAGAGACAGACATCTGTGGTGAGACTCAAGAGGTACAAGGAGGCTATGAGTGAACAACCACCTACAGGTAGCCCGAATATCAGCGAGTGCAGGGACTTTGGTAAAAGAGGCTGGGGGAATTAGTTCCTTAGGGCTAGATAGGATAAAAGACTTTATAACGTGTTCACTATCTACCTGATACGGAATTGGAGAACTGGAAGGAGTGACCAGAGCTCAGAGTTTCTCCTTCCAGGTGTGTTGTAGCAGTACAAGGGTATACAAGATGGCTCTTTCTAGATAAACAGACTTCTGAACAGAAGTGCAGCACAGGCCCACTGCTATGTGAAAGGTGAATACTGTCTGACAGAGCTCCTGAGCTCTGCCATGAAATGAAAATCTCCTCTGCTTCATGTTAAGGAAACATTAAAAATCTGAAAGAGAACATTTAGGTTAGATGTTTAGAGGAAATTCTTTACTCAGAGGGTAGAGAAGCAGTGGCACAAGCTGCCCAGAGAAGCTATGGGACAGCAGGGGAGTCCCTGCCCCAAGAAAACTGCAAAACGCAGAGAGCAACCAAGAAGCAAGCATGCTGAATGGCAATAAAGCCAAGCAGCTTTATTCTGTGCATGTTTCCATAAAGCACCAAGAGAACATTGCTTTGCAATGAGCTGGAGAGGGGAATTCCTCATCTATTTCTGCCTGTCCCCATGCCCACTGGAGCCCAGCCCAGGATCTGACCTGACAGAATCTGTTCTGGTCTCACAGCCCAGGGGGGAGCTGAGAATGGGTGGGCATCAGGTACCAGCTCCCAAGTCTGCAGGGAAAAGTGGATTGGTGGATAAGCAGATAAACACACAGTGCTGCAAGGAGAGCTGTGCCCACACCCCAGCGTGGGCCCTGC